AATTATTCTTCGTTTAGCGAAACTCTCGCGACACCTCTTGCAACTTGCTGTGACACACAGTTTGGAAACCACTGATCTAGACAGTGTTACGCCCGAAACATGAATCAGTCCCAGGTTGGAATGCAACTAGAAACAAATGACGGGGTGATAAGTTTGACGAAACATTCCAATGACATTCATAATATCTTTCGCTGAATCAGAATGGATTATGGTCAGAATAGTTCTGCTGGGTCAAAATCTTACTCTCAATACCAGAGACTAGCAATCAGACACTTTCCATTAAAACACTAGTTTTGCTTGTTTGTTTGTTTTTAATTATGTACAAAGCTACACAAGGGCTATCTGTGCTCTGCCCACCACGGGTATCGAAACCCGGTTTCTTGCGTTGTAAGTCCGCAGACATACCGCTGTGCCACTGGGGGCTACTGGTTTTGCAAAAAATACTTTATTAAATTTATATTGAATCACAAACCATGAGTGGTGGCAATCATAATAAAATGTCAAATTATATTAAGCAAAATCTTATTGTTATTATTTTATTAAAACTTATGGACTTTAAAACTCATACCATGTGCGTTTCGTCATTAAAAATAAACCATATTTAGTATTACTCCGCTGACCTACAAATTATAGCTAATTTGAAAATGCTAGCTCCAATCTATCTTTTATTTTAAATTTAAGAATATCGTATTAAAAATCACTAACACAATCTGATTATTTAACAAGCTGCGCATTAGACATTCTGACAGAGGCGTAGATATACAGAGTGTCCATTAATTATCTGACCCATTTTAAAAATTAATAACTACAAAAATATTATAGATAGAACACTCCGGTTTTATTTAACTTGATGAACAACTCATAAAGTTTTTTTTCCTCCTTTCTGTTGCAGATACGTTGTAGGAGCATTGCTAGAGAAGAGAAAAAGTGAAAAAAGAAAGAAATGACAATACCCTAGGAAAAGGCGCAGCGTGTGGTTTGTTTTGCTGAATCCAAATCAATCGTGTCAGTACAAAGAAATTATCGACGCATTTATGAAAAAGATCCTCCAAACAAGAATAGTGTTGCGTCATCGAGTCACATGACTACTGTGACGCAACGTTTCTAGAACTATCATGTACTTTGGCGAATGCTCTAGTGTTTGCTAGATGGGGTAGGCGGATATATATAAGAGGGGAAAACGTGACGCAGATTATTATTGTAATGTGTGTTTAGATAGTGAGTAATTGAACTGCAGTCAGAGAGCACGAGAGACGTTACAGCGTTTGTTTAGCGCGATTGTTGAAGTTGAGTGTATTGGTAAAGTTATATTCCGAAATAATAAACCAGTTTTTACTAAGAAAGAACTTGTGTCG